TGATAGCATGGCCTAAATAGTAGGTGTCCTATGGGGTCCAGTGGCACAGCTTCCCCTACCACTCAAGCTGGATACTTGAGGTACACCCTTCATGTGGGCTGAGCAAACCCTCCTCTTGTTGAGCCTAGACAGCTGTTGGCAGGTCACTGGGAGGGTTTTACCCAAGCCAGTCAGCTGCAAGGACTGACTATGACCACTGACCACCAGTCTCCACCCTCTGTGGAAGATCAAGTGTGCAGGGGCAGGGTGCTGGTGCTCTGACATGGACTATATCTGTCCACTGGGTACACAGGCTCTGGGGTTTCCCAGGTAATACAGGCCAAGTTCAGTCCCTACCTGTGTTTTGCCTGAGGCCACCCTGCCTGAGCTGTCAAGCAATCTGAGATGGCTGCTACTTGTGCTGGGCTTGGAGATACCCAGGTGAAGCCAAGCTGTGAGTCTAGGCTGGTTGCTGAGAGTGCCCACCCTGTAGCCAGTTACTAAGAGGTACAGGGGTGAGGGTTCACTGAGGCTGGCTGTTGCTTGTTTGATAGGATTTACGACGTTGTGAAGTGTGAGCCAATACCAGCCATTGATATGGAAAAGCAGATTGCATGGGCCCATAAGTCAGGTGGAACAGAGTCTCTGGGGATCTCCAGGGTGGGACAAACAGTGTTAGCCAGCCTGCCAGCTCTGTGGATCTGTGGTGTAGGGCTCAGAAAAGGGACAATGGCCTCTGCCTGCTCTGTCCCGCAGCTCTTACCTTGACAACTGACACTTCGGTTTCTCCCTGCATACTATTAGTACTTTTCAAGTTGCTACCTGGTTGCTATAGTTCAGAGGGAGTGAGCCTAAGTCCATGTGTGTGTTCTTTAAGAGGAACTGCTTGGGATTCCAGAAATTTCATCTACTGACTCAATCCTCACTGGTTTTTGCAGCCAGAAATTATGAGGACTTATCTTTCTGGCACTGGAACTCTGGGCTGGGGGCCCTGGTATGGGGCTGGGACTCCTCAATCCCAAAATATCCCTTCTGATTTTTTATCCACCACACGTGGATGTGGGACCAGCCTGTTTCTTTAATTACATAGTTGTCAGACTTCCAATCAACTCAATTTCTGATGGTTCTGAGTGATGGTTGTTTTACATTTTAGTTGTGATTTTGATGTGCTTGTGCAAGGAGGTGAGCTGTTTTTACCTAGGCCACCATCTTGACCAGAAGTCAAGAATTGACTCTCTCTTGAACTTTTATTGCTTCAGTAATACTACTGTGACTGTCCTTATGCAGACATCTTTGAACACTTCTCCAAAAGGTGTGTACATTTTGCATGTTCATGTTATTGCTATACTGCCCTCCAAAAACTAAATTACTTTTCACTAACTTAGACATTCCCCCAAGGTGCCTGAAGGTACCTGATTAATGGACTTTTCTACTTTTTGTCAACATGATAGGAGAAAAATTTTATCTTATTTATATATATATATGTGTGTGTGTGTGTGTGTGTGTGTGTGTGTGTGTGAAGATGGTGACCATTTTAAATTAATAGGCAATATGTAATTTATGTATGAACTGCTTCTTTCTATTCTTTGGCCCTTTTTCTATCTGGTGGTAGTTTTCCCATTATTTGTTTATATGAGGTCTTTAGTTATCTCCTCAGGCCTTCCTTGAACCTCTGTCTAAAATAGTAACTGAGCTGTTGATCCTCATGTCAATCTGTTTAATCCTCTGCAAAGAACTACCACTGGCTATTTTTCTCATTGGTTTATTGTTCTCTTTATTTTAGAATATAAACTCATCTATCTTGTTCATCACTCTTGTCTCCATCACATAGATCCAAGCCTGACTCATAATAAGCATTCAGATATTGTTGAATGAATGAGCAAAAGAATAATAGAATCAGCCTATGTATGTCATAAACATTTAATTGTTTTCAGTTTGTATGATATTTTTTCCCAGGGGAAGCTTTACATTTTAATTTAGCCAAATGTATCAATATTTTTCCTTTATGCCTTTTGGAGGTTTCTTGCTCCAAGTTTATAAATAAATTTACTGATCCTCCTTTGAAACCTCTATTGTTCCATCTTTTATATTCAAATCTTAGAACTCTGTAACATTTATTGTCATATAAAAAATAAAGGATCTAGTTTTAATTTTTCTCATAATAGTTGGCTAGCTAATTGTCATTCACTGAACTATCTTTCCTGTATGGGTTTAGCATAACAGCAAACATAAACTACATTTCCATGGATTAGGTTTTTTCCTGGACTCAATCAAATTGTTTTAACTACTATAGATTTATAACATGTTTCAGTAGTTGTTAAAGCTGATTTTCCCTCATTTCATTTCATTTTTTATGGCTAAGATCATATATTTATTTTTCCAGATAAATTTCAAGATCATTTTTGCTAAGGCTGAAAAAATTATCTTAAAATTATTTTAGAGCCTTTGGTTTGCAGGTTCAGTATATTGAGTGCCAGCTTGTGAACTAAAGGGTTGCCAACTTGATACCCAGTCAGGGTACATGCCAGGGTTGTGGGCCAGGTCCCCAAAAGGGGCTATGTGAGAGGTAACCACACATTGATGTTTCTTTCCCTCTCTTTCTCCCTCCCTTCCCCTCTCTCTAAAAATAAATAAATGAAATCTTTTTAAAAAGTCAGAAAAAAGTTATTTTAAAGAACTAATAATATGCATATATGGTATACATAGTATATGCATTTTACAGTTTTAAAAATCTTTATCTCATGAACAAAACTGATAAAAATTTAGTTTGTTCAGAGTTCATGTTATTAAACAAGTTATTTCTTAGGGAAATGGGTCAATGCATGTGAGAATACTTAGCATCCTTTGACTAGAGGGATTTAGATTTGAGCTTAGATATATTATGCTAGAACTTTTAAGTATAAATGGGTCTTATATTTTTAGGCATGACTTGAGTATGATGAACTATTGACAACTTACCCTCATTCTTAATCACCTATTTTGGATATGTTTTACAGAAGATTAGATACAAAGAAATTTAGCCCTAGTTATTATTTTGTTTCTCATGAGCTGTTTAGCCCTTGACAATTGACAAACTGAGTTTCTGAACCTCTGCTTCATCATCTGTAAAACAAGCATGTAATGCTCATTCATTCACTCATCAAATAATATTTTATTTACCTGCCTACCTTTGAGAATTGTGAGGATCAAGTACCAGAATTCTGGCAGTTTTTTTTTAAATATTAAGGTCTTATGTTAAACATTGAACCTTCAAAACTTTTCATTTGCTTATCTCTAGTCCCTTAAGGCATAAGCCAGTAAGAACAAAAGAATAGGCCAGAGACTTCCATAAATTTTGAAAGCTGGAAAGTAGAGAAGGAAAAACCAGAACTTGTCACCTGGTATCTCTGAAGGCTAGTATTGAAAAGAGGAGGGTGGATTGGAAATCTAAAAGCAGAGTCCCTCCCCTACCATGCTGAAAGATGAAAAAAAAAAAAGAGTTGTAAGGATGAGGAATGAAGATGGTGGTATACTGGAAGGGAAAGTTGGGATTAGGACTGAGGGTAGTGGTAGAGTCATAAATCTTCCACCATAATAGGAAGTCAAAAGATAATGCTATTAAAAAATTAAGAAACAGAAGAATATGTATGTTATTAAGAAGATAATTGAAGATGAATCTACACATCTTCAGTAGCCACACACCTACAGTACCCGCACAGTACTGGAAGTGATTGTGTAGGCCATGGGGAGGACTAGAGCTTCTTTCATTTTAGTGTGAGCCTTAGTAGTACTGTTACTTGGTAGGCTTTTAAAACTATGTATATATATTGTAGTGACAAAAATTAAAAAGACAAAAAGACCTTATGCTATTGTGAAAAAGTGAGTCTCTCTAGCACAAGACTTGGCATTTGGTGTTTAATCAATGCATGTAAAATGGTTGAACAAATACCATTCGATTATTTAGAAAACTCCAATTATTCCTTTATTGTTGGTGCTATGTAGGAATTAGAATTAAATAATGTACTTTAAGGATTGATAACTAATATATTTGGAATATCACCATATGAGAAACCAGTATTTTATTTTTGAGAATTCTAAGGTGGTAGAAGACCTTTGAATAAAGTTAAACAATAAAATGTTTTATTTGAACTTTGGATGTATTTCATACTTTTCATCAAGAAATTTTGGGGTTAAGAATACATGTGTTGGTGTATGTTTATCAAGATGTGACACTATTTTCTGTACCAGAAAATCTCTATGAATCAGGCACTAATTTAGGAGCTTGATAATGTTCCCTGTGCCTTTTTCTGTCTTTGAATTCAAACTCAGTCTGCCTCAAGGTAGGTAGTATTAGACAAATCCTGGTACCTAGTTCTTTAATACTGTGAACATAGTAACTGAGTTTGGGAGTTAAGTTACCTCTTCCAAAAGGATAATCAGAATGTCAGATGCTAGAGATTTAGTTGTAGTAGCATGATCTCCTACTTGAAGCAAAGTATCCCTCCAGAAAGTTCAAAGTTCTTCTAATATTAGAAGTAACTTGTCAATAAATAGGTTGAGTGACTATTCTCAAGGAAGAATGTTTTGCTAATGGAATTGCACTATGGAATGGGGTCCAATATTCATTTGTAAGTGTCTATGAATTTGTTGGGAAAGAAATGCTAGAGAAATGACCAAGAAATAATATTGTGTGACATTAATGAAGAAACAAATATAATTCATTTTTCTTTGTAAGACACAGGTAAGTTTGACTCACATTGTGCGTACCTCTGTATATTTTGTATCAATTGGTCTAATATCTTAAACATGCACTTTGGCTTTGTAATCTCACAATTTTACACTCAGAGGTATTGTTTGACTAAGCCACCATGATTTTTTTACCTACTTATGTAAGAAAATTATTTCACTTGGAAATGGCACCTAAGTAAGAGTTTCAAAAATGAAATATTGTGACTGTTAAGGTTAAATATGTAATTGATTTGGGTGTCTTCTATATAACCAAGTGAATTGAAAACCATATTTTAAAATTTTATTGTCCCTAGAGTGAATTACTGGAATTTAAACAACAGCAACAGGAGGAAGAAAGAACCAGAAACCATCAGGCTGAGCACAGGAGGTATAATGGCTAATAAATTATAATCCTTAGTTAAAACAATTACCTATAAATTGTTTGCAGTGTTTTAGGAAAACATTATAGTAATATCGACTAGAGTTTTGAAATTTATATTATCTTTTTAATCTTTTTATCATGTGGGTGTGGTATGTGTGTGAGGATGCCAGTTGCTGTACACACATGTACATGCATATACAGTATCTACTTTTTCTGGATAGGTGGCATTAGTTTACACTAGAAGACTGAATTATGCTCTCAAGGTATATGTTTATTTATATTATATTTCATTTGCCTTCCATGGAAGAAAGCATCTTCATCCTTTGAGATGATGCTTTAGAATGATTGAACTAGTACAGATGGTGAGATACCCATACTTGAATACAAAAGCTCAGACAAAAACTACCATAAAGTTGTTTTATACTGACTAACATATTAAGAAAAAAGATGTTGAAATAGGACCATTAAGGATTTTTTAATAGTGTAAGTGCTCTCTATTTTATTCCCCATAGCTGGCGCTCAGTACTCAGTAAAATACCATGTTGATGTTGGGGACAGTGCTAATAGCCACCATATCTGTCATTATTATGTTAGGATTTTCCTGAAGGGCACTTGGGTTGTTTGAGTTAATTGCAGTGCGCTTGAGTGATTTAGGAGAACAATTTTATTTAAAGGCTCTCATGGTTTAAAGGAACAAATTCTTCTTTTGAAAATTAGTAGTTTCTTTTATATGTCTGAATCCCACTATCACTAATGCATATTTTTAAATTGTGGCAGTTTCATTTTGTAAATAAGATGTTAAAAGGTGTTAATGGAGACATTGAAATCAATAACAAACTGACAGTAACCAGAGGGGTGGGAAGAGGGAAATAGTGGGAAAGAAGGGAAATGGACTTAAATGAACTTGAATGAGGGACCCCTGGATGGAGCCAAGGAGGGTTGGGATTGAGGGTGGGAGGTGGGTGTGGGTAGTCGGGTGTGGGGAAAGTGGTGGTGGGAAAATGGAGACAACTGTATTCAAACATCAATTCAAAAAGGAAAAGAGAAAGAGAAAGAAACTCCCAATTCTATTGTAGCCACCAACTCTGGATGTTGCTCATTTTCTTTTGACTAGATTATACTGCTTCCATTGCCCAGTAAAAATAGTTTTAAAATGTCAAATGTGAATTTATGTGTTCTCCTCCAATTATAAGGAAACATCAAAATTCTGATGCACTGGTTAAACTATTTTATTGGGTAAGAGGACCCCATTACTGCTATGTATTTTTTTATAAAATAGACCACAAATTAGTTTAGTCTTTTATAGGTTTTTTCTCATTTTCTCTTTAAACGTTGTTCTACTAAAAAAACCTGATATTATATAACAGTTGTTAGTACTAGCCAGTTATTTCTCTGGATTTTTGAGGATTTATTGGATAGGAAAGCTTCAAGCATCTTAGAGATAGTGATATGTCATATTAATAAGCCCTGTTACCAAGAAATTGATCTTCAATAGGCATCCAATAAAAATGCAAGTTAACTGATTAGAGGTGGAAAAGGTTACTTTTGTTTTGTTATAGGAACCTTGACCCTCATTCTTTAGGTTTATTTTCATACTGCCGAATACTTAAATATTAGTGGGGTTATTTATTGGATGTTTTCTACACCTTATTTTCTCTTTGTATTTATTCTAGTTAAGTGTAGATCCAAGTTTAATCTGTGAGGAAATCTCTCAAGATAATAAACTTAATAATCAGGTTTGAAATAACTGATCTAGTCTTTAAACACATTTTTTTGTATTCTCAGTCAGTTTTTGGAGTTTGTTTATTTTGTCATTTAGAGTTTACAGTAAGCTGTAAACTCTATCATATTTTCATATGATAACATTCTTATGTTATCATATGAAAATACTCATCCAGTAGCCTCTTAATGAATAAAATAGCTGGGTTTGTTCCTGCTGAGAGCAACAGCACAAGCTACATAGTCTGTATGTAGGGGACATAAGAGCTCTTCTCCACGGACATTAATTTTATTAGAGTCAAAAAGACAATGTGCTTTATACTACTTAGAAGTTCACATGTCCAAAAATTCAACCCTGAGTTTTATAATAGAACATTATGGGATTCCTCACAAGGTTTTCAGTGAACCCTCTAATGGTTGAGCTTGAGTGCATCTGCACCTGAGTCAGTCTAACTTTCTGAGTAAGAGAAGAAACTTTAAACTCCAGAGAGAAAGGACAGACCATAGAGGTTAAGGACTTGAAAGGAACTGGACCATGAGCTGAAAACTAGAATGAACTGAAGTGATTTATTGAAACTTGAACCATTCTCGAATAACATTTTTTATCCAAATTAACCCTGGGAAGAAAATCCAGAGCATTAGTTTGACAGCAATAAAATGTATGTATTGTACTTTCTAATACTAGTAAACAAAAATATAAACTGGTACTTTTTTTCTATTTGAATTCTCATTAGGAATTGAGAAATAATCTCTTTACCACCCATAATCTCTGGTTGACCCCTGTGTGTCCTTCTAGTAACTGATGCTCAAAAGTGAATCGCATCACCTTGTATGCATGACAAGTCACCAGTCTGCACAGTGTCTAACTGAATTGAGAGAAGTGGACAGTGAGCAGTTTTGCAGCCTGCACTCACCACCACGGGTGGTTTCAGTAACTGTAGCTGCAGTAACAGAGGCAGGGAGAGGTGGGGATCATGCGCCTGGATAATTCATTCATTTACCTTTTACATAGTTGGGTATATGAAGGCTTTGTTCTCAGCACTGGGAATAGATTTAACAAGGTAGAGAAGGTCCATGGCTACATGGAAATTACAAACTGGAAGAAATAAGCAGCAGTCAATAATTTAGCAGCAAGATTATTTCAGATAAGGATACATACCATGTGGACCACACCATGGGTGTGATGTTGATGGAGAGATTGGACGTGATAATTCCTCAAAAAAGAGGTGACATCACAGGACAAGAGCTAGTCACAGAGACTGGGGACCAGAACATATGGATATCCCCTATTCAGGCATAAGAACAAATGCAAAGGCCTTAATGGGGGAATGACCTTGGACTTTTTGGGTCCAAAATGACTGGATTATAGATGGTAAGGAAGAAAATATTAAGAAATAAGGTAGGGAACATAGGCAGAAGCTAGAAAATATAAGATTTTATAAGCCAGTGATTTTATTCTAGGAGTAATGGAAAGTCAGGGAAGAGTTAAGCAAAAGGAAGGTAGGCCCTCTTTCATGATTTAGTAAGCTGGTTATGTGGAAATGGATTACAGAGGCAGAACTGGAAGCAGAAGCAAGATGAAAGAGGATAGCAATTTGGACCAAAATGGTGGCCCTGGAAAGAAATGGGTGAATTTGAGATATGCTTGGTTGGTAGAGCCAACAGGACTTTTAGTGGTTTGGATATGGGGCGGCACAGGGATGTTGAAGGAAAGCCCATTTTTGTTACTGACAAAAAGACTGGACATAAATAGCCCTAGGGGTATGAGCAGTGAAGAATACCATTGGTTGTGCTGTTAAGTGGGGAGCAGGGTCACCTTTCATTTCCTTAATATGCAAATCTCTAGCTCAGTAAGATATTGTTCAATCTGTGTGCTGAGAGGTCCTGGAAAGGTAACTCACACTGAGCTCTGCAGGGAGCCAGGCTGACCAGATATGGCACTTGGGTAGATTTTATGGTAAGAGTAAAAAACCTTTCTAATAACTAAGATGTAATCAGTGTTTCATGGGACTTAAAGTTGCTGAGAAAACAGCAACACAATAAGCCCAAGATCCAGCAGGGCAACATGGGGTTGGCATTTTGGGTATCCCTAAGCAAGCACAGACAGACAAAAAATTGTCTTACTTTGCCACTCAGTAGTCATTATCCTTAAAGTCCCCAAAGCTCCCATAGTCATGGACTTACAGCTTCCCACCATGTCCACATTCTGCTAATCTTCATGACTGAACAAGAGGCTAATGTGACTGAGGCCAGCCTACCCTTCCTCCCATAAACATGTATGGAGCTGCTGATGTGCACCAGGCACAATGTTTCTAACAAGAAGCTGATGGTCTTAATGACACTATTCCTCAGTAATTTGGTGACATCATAGGGTACCTATCACAATGTTGTTTCTCCAGCCTTTGCTTCCCTGACTCTACTCATCCATACCGAGGCAGCTCAGAGCATGCTGTTGCCTTTACTTTACTTTTTTATGTTAAATGTTTTTAATTTAAAAATTTAAATTTTTTAGTAGGACAAGTATATCCAAGTCCATGAAATGAATATTTAGAATGATTAATTATAAAGTGAAAAACCAGGTAGCCACCTCCAGAAATAGAATATAATTAACATCCCACAGTTAATCTACATTCTGACTTTTAAAATAATCATTTTCTTACCTTTCTTCAAGGTTTTACCTCCTATGTGTTAAATTTAATTTCTGAAATTGGTTGCTGCAAGTATGACTGACCATCAGTGAAAGATGTACCCATTACATCTTTGAAAGCTTGGGTTTCCCTCTTAATATTTCTTTTCCCTCGTACACTTGTCCCAGTCCCTTCTATTTTTCACTTGTGGGATTTACCTTAGCAAGACTGACAGTGGAGCACAGGGCATATGGGAGGGACCATCTATCTTGCAACAACAGTGGCACAGAGCTATTTTTTGTTTTTCTTCATGTTTTCATTCTTATAAAGCCTTTATCTTTCCTCAGCCTCTGGGGCTCATGCTTTGCCTGCCCTGACCTTTAAGGGTCTGGTTGCTTGGGTGAAGAAGGTTCTTGAACTGATAGAATATAGGCCAGTGAAACTGAAATTAGCAACTATGCCCCCTCTGGCCAAGCCACCACCCACAACTGGCCCCAGCTCCAGCAAAGGACTGCTAACAGCATGCCATGTGATTAATGTGAAAAGAAGTTTCTGTAGATTTCTTCTAAGCTGAAGGGAGGAAGCAATCCCCATAGTCAGTCATACAGTACATTAGGTTCTCAAAAATCTCTCAGCCTTGCAACAAGCTTTTCACTTACACACATTTTTCATTGTTTTAAAGGGTAAATAATGCTTTTCTGGACCGACTCCAAGGCAAAAGTCAACCAGGTGGCCTGGAGCACTTTGGAGGCTCTTGGAATATGAATAATGGTAACAGCTGGGTGAGTTTTTCCTTTACTCTTAAAAAATATCTTTCAAATTTGAAGAACAAAAACAATGAGAATTTAAAAAATATGTTGCGGCCTTCTCCCCAGATATTTTTTCATGTGCTGTTCAGCTGTGTGATGGGCAGTCAGCCAGGGTGATTATTGCAAATTCCACAATAGCTTCTGAAGAAGGGAAAAAGTCCTGATTTCAGCTCTGGCCAATTGTAGTAAAAAATGACACCTGCCCTTTGTTCTCAATGTGATTTCCTGGACTGTAAGGCTTTTTATCACTCCTGGCCTAGACCCATGACAAAACAAATGAACACTTTTTTTTCAGGAATATTTTAAATGAAATATGCTTATAAAAATAGCGAGCATTCTTTAGTAATAATTTTTTTCAGTGAGACTAGCGTATCAAAGAAACCAATATTTAATTTTTCATTACAAAATGATTTTTAATAAACCCTACAGCAAAAGGCACTTTTTAAAAATGAAATATTGATACAGATTTTTCTGAAGAAAATCTTGCAACTTGTAATATGTGTTTAATGTGTTTTGCATGCTTTATAATTTAATTGAAGCCCAGGTACATATGTGTCCACTCAAAAAAAAAAGGAACAGATATATATCTTTAAATTGGTAAAATATAACAAAATAATCAAGTGCTTGCTGACCTGCAAACTCTAGAGATGATCACTCTTTAATACATACTTGATCAGGTGTGAGTCAGTTGGTTGGACATTGTTTTGCAAGGCAAAAGGTGACTGGTTCAGTTGGACACATGCCTGGGTTGCTCATTTGATTCTCTCACTTAGTAGAGGCAGCTGGCAGCCAATTGATGTTTCTCTCTTGCTCTCTTGCTCAATATTTCTCTCCCTAGTTTTCTCCCTCCCTCCCTCTCTCTCTAAAAAAAATAATAAATGAAAAAATTAAGAAAAAATAAATACTTTATTGACAAAAGGTCATTTTTGAGAAGACAGTCTGTTAGGAATTTTACATGCATGTTTTCTTAAAAGATATCTAGTAGTTAAAATTGATAGGTAGATTTCACAAATTATATATAGTGAAGAGAACACAAATTTCAGGCAAATTTGCAGAGAAGGTATAGTGGATGTTTTTATTTATCCATAATGCATGCTCATGTGCATCACTACGGCATTTAGAAAAGAGACAATATGGAAGAGGGAACAGTTTTTGCATCATGAATTACAATTTGCAAATTATTGACTTATACAAATATGTGAGTAGGAGCCATGTGGTAAATGGAGCACTCTGAGTTTAATACATTATCCAAGTTCAAGGAATTATAAGTTATGAAACATGATTGAAACTCAGATTTTAGACAACTTTGAAACTTGCTGCACATTTTCTCCTCTACTCAACTACTGCCCAATGTAGAAAGTAACTAAAAAAATACTTGGGATTGAGGGGAAGATGATGGGCAAGAGTAAAAGAATACTGCATGGGCTGCTGCTAAGAGAATAAGGATTGGGCTCACCAATGACTTTTGGTAGGCCTTATATGAGTGAACTATAAACCTTTGCTTGGGTTCCTCACAGATTAAAAAGAGAGGACTGTTGTTTTCTTATGATGTGATATGAGTGAGGATGATTAAAGTTTTCTTAGTAGTGCAGTCATGTCCAAGTCCAAAGTGATTGTTGGTTCTTCTCTTACTTGAAAGAAACATGATAGAAAGATGAGAACTTCTTCAGGCTCCCAGCTCTACCTCCACGTTTACTTACCTACAGACATCCCTACCTGTATGCCTACTCTTTCTTGTGAGCCAGTTTCTATCTTCTTCACTGTCTTTGTTCTACCAATACTCTACCTTATCCTGAATTATCTATCTCAACTAGAATATGCCCATCAGCATAAAATATTAAGAAATATAAATTATTTTGCTATTACTTTTCTTCTTGCTGTTTCTTCCCCTTTAGAGAAAAACTTCAAGAGGTGTCTATTCTTGCTGTGTGTATTTTCTTTCTTCCCATTTCTTTTAAACCTACTCTAATCAGGTTTTAGACTTTTCTAGTCCTACAAAAATGTTCTTGTCATGGTCACTAACAATGTCCACATTGAAAAACTCCAGTGGTTATATCTGTCTTTATTTTTAAGACCTATCAGCATCATTCCTCGTGATGAATTGTCTCCGCCTCTGTGAAACTTTCTTTACTTGGGTTCTGGGATACTATATTCTCCTGGGTTTCTACCTATTTCAGTGGCCAACATTCTCTTTGGTTGAATTTCCCACATCTTTTTGTTCTCTCAATATTGTAGTGCTTCAGGGATCTACCTTCTGAACATTATGTTCACTTAATATCTTGGTGGTCTCATTTCATTTTCATGAAATGACATAAATGCTTGGGAGTATATGCTTATTACTCCCAAAATTTAATTTCCAGCCTAGATCTCTTCCTTCAAATTCTAGGGCTTTATATCCATTTGTCTACCCAACATCTCTATTTGCATATCCAATATACATTTCGATCTTAACATATCTAAAACTTAACCTTTATTCCCTTTACCTTAATACTCTACACTTTTTCCTGTTTGCATAATGGTGCAACCCATCTCTCACATCCCTCCATAGATAATCCATCAGGAAATATTCTTGACTCTTCTAAATATATCTAATCCAATAGCTACTCACAACCTTCACCACTATGATCCTGCTTCCAACTTCTATCAGTGATCATCTAGATTCTTGAAAATGTCTCAAGTGGTTTCTTGGCTTCCATACTTCCCCACCTAGAGTCTGTTCTTTGTATGAGAATGATCCCATTGAATCAGAAGTCAGACCCTGTCCCTCTTATGCTCAAAGTCCAAAGTCCTCCAATGACTCCCTTAACTCCCTAGATCACTTGAAGTAAAAGCCAAAGTCCTTGTAGGAGCCTACCAGGTGCTACATGATTTAGACTCCACTTTACCCCTCTGGCGCTGTCCTACACTGCCCTTTCTCATTGTTCCTAGCCATGCTTGCTTCTTGCTCTTTTTTGAAAACTTGAGAAACTGGATGCTCTCACCTTATGGCCTTTGCACTGGATGACCCCCCTATACTATCCTCCAAAATATCCATGTTATTCCTTCTTCAAGTTTTTTAAAATTTCTTCTCAGTGAGGGTTCCTCTACCACTTATTTAGTGCTTCCACCTGTGCCTTTACCCCCAACTCTTTCCAGGCTCCACTTCTTTTTTCCAGAGCACTCTGCAACTTCTAACATAATTTACTATCACTTAATTATATGTTTTGTTGATTATTTACCCTTAGTCTCTCCCTCTGGTGATATATGTTCCATATGCCATTAGAGCAGGGCCCTTTGGTTATATTCCAAGCATAAAACAGTGATTAGAACTTACCATATGCACAAGGAGAAGGGTGGCTGTGATCGAGGGTAATCAAACAACACAGATTTAGCATTAAATGATGTGATACACTAAAATGACTACATATTGAATTTTAAAAAGCTATAATATTAAACACTGGATGAAATAGATATTGGATTTAAAACAATGAACAAAAATGGGAGACAATGCCAACCAAGAAGATTTGAAAAAAGAACAATTTTAGTAACAAAAAACATAATCTTTGAAATTAAAGCACTCAATGAGCTTATCATAATAGAGGGAATACAAACTAAGAACTAAATCAAAATACCATTTCTCTTCTATTATTTGGCAACTGCCCCCCTGCACCCCTGTAAAATAAAAGATTGGCAATATACTCTGTTGGCAAGGCTGTGGAAAAACAGGTTTTTCACACATTGTTGGTGCAAATTCAAAATGATGCAAGCACTATGTAGGTTAATTTGTTACTATGTTCCCATAAAATAAAAACCAGGCCTAGACATATTATAGAAAAGTTCTAATAAATGTTCTAGGAACAGAAGATTTCAAATGTCTGGAAAGATTTTCCAGATAAATCAAAAGGAGAAAGTATTCCCCAAAATGATTAAGCAGGTGAATGGAACTTTCAATCAAAATTTAGCAAAGACTATACAGAAAAAAAAAATGATAGACCAGTCTCACTCATAAACATAGATTCTTAAAAAATTCACAAAATTGTGATAGACTCTCTAATGAATTTTTAAAAGGCATAATATGTCCATATCAAATTGAATTTATTCCAAAATGCAAGCTTAGTTTACCATAAATGAATAAATCAACAACATAAAAAATAAAATAAAACAAACAAAAATTTCACCTCATGAATTATAGGGCAAATACCACATGATTATCTCAATAGTTAAGAGAAATCATTTGATAAATTTCAATATACTCATTTGTGGTAAAAAAAAAAAAACTTCTGGCAAACTAGGAACAGAAAGAAAATTTCTTTAGTACAAATAGGTAGTTACAGAATAGCCATGGGAATGTAAAGTGCAGTATATGAAATGAAATAGCCAAAGAACTTATATGCATGACCTATAGACATGAACGATGGTAGGGGAATGGCCTGAAGGAGTAGGGGGTGCTGGGTGGAGAGGTGCAAAGGGGGGAAAATTTGGACAACTCTAATAGCATAATCAATAAAATATAATAAAAAGAATGTATGGGCACAAATAAAAAAATTTCTTTAACCAAAAGTCAGCAAAAATCTATAATAAAAATACATCAAAAACATTTACTTGGCCCTGGCCAGGTGGCTCAGTTGGTTAGAGTATCATCCCCATACACTGAAGTTGCAAGTATAATACCTGGTCAGGGTACATAGAAGAATCAACCAATGAGTGCATAAATAAGTGGAACAAGAAATTGATATTTCTGTCTGTTTGTCTCTTTCCCCCTTCCTCTCTCTCAAAATAAATGTAAAAAACTGTTTTATTTAAATTGGATATAAGGATTGAAAAAATTTATAAATCACAGATAATACAGAATATTGACCTGATAATATCCATTGATCTTACTTAGATTTTCCCAGTTTCATTTCACTGTGTGTGTCTCTTTGTGTGTGCATTTAGTTCTATGCAGTTTTATCACATATGTAGGTCCATGTATCCACCAGAGTACAGAAGATTCTGAACAAGTTCATTAACACAATGATCTTTATAGTGTTACCATTTTATAGCCACATTTATGTCCTTCTTAGAATGAGTCCCCATACATAACCACTGGGAACTATAAGACTGTCTCCATTTCTAAAATTTATTATTTCAAAAATATTAATATAAATGGAATCACATAGCTCCGGTAGCTCAATTGATTAGAGCATCCCAGCACACGAAGGCTGTGGGTTCAGTCTCTGGTCAGGGCACATATAAGAAGCAACCAGACTTCCAGCCAAGATAGAGGCGTAGGTAGACACACCGTGCCTCCTCGCACAGCCAAAATAAGGACAATAAAAATTTAGAAACAAAAAAATAACCAGTACTGACAGAAAAATGAACTGTATGGAAGTCCAACAACCAAGGAATTAAAGAAGAAATATTCATCCAGACTAGTAGGAGGGGCAGAATCAGGTAGCCAGGCAGAGAGGGCTTGCAGCAAAGCGGCAGCTGGTGGACCCAGTGAGGCAGCGGATCGTGGAGGGGTGTGGCCCACAAGGTTCCTGGAGGAACAGGTGGTCCCACATTTGCATGCAGATAAACCAGGCAAAACTGGGGAGCAAGACAGACTGCACAACCCAGTGTTCCAGCGCAGGGAAATAAAGCCTCAAACCACCAATTGAAAACACCTGGGAGTTTAGATATGGGGAGAGACTGCAGGCCTCACAGGAGAGTTCGTAGGAGAGATCCACAGGGTCCTAGAACATACACAAACCCACCCACATGGGAATCCAGCACCAGAAGGGCCAAGTTTGCTTGGGGGAAGTGGGGAAAGTGACTGAAATTCATCAGAGAGCAGAGCAAGCACCATTGTTCCCTTTCGGGCCCTCCCCCACATATAGCATCACAATTCAGTGACGTGGGTTGCCCTGCCCTGGTGAACATCTAAGCCTCCACCCCTTACTACATAACAGGCAGGTTAAGACAAACAAATGGCTCAAATGAAAGAACAGATCAGAACCCCAGAACAAATACAACTAAGCAATGAAGAGGTAGCTCTCCTATCAGATGCACAATTCAAAGTACTGGTGATCAAGATGGTCAGAGAATTAATTAGTTGAGTTTGGTTGCAAATTAGATGAAAAAATGAAGACTATGCTAACTGAAATAAAGGAAAATGTATAGGGAACCAACAGTTATGGGAAGGAAACTGGGGCTCAAATCAATGGTGTGGAAAGAAGAAGAAAGAAACAACCAAACAGAAAAGTATGAAGAAACAAGAATTCAGAAAAATGAGGGGAGGCTTGGGAACCTCCAGGACATCTTTAAATGTTCCAACATCTGAATTATAGGGGTACCAAAAGGGGAAGAGAAAGAGCAACAAGTGGCAAAGTTATCTGAACAAATAATAAAGGAGAACTTCCCCAATGTGGCAAAGGAAATAGACTTCCAGGAAGTCCAGGAAGCTCAGAGAGTCCCAAAGAAGTTGGACCCAAGGATGAACACACCAAGGCATATCATAATTACATTACCCAAGATTAAAATGAAGGAGAGAATCCTAGAAGCAGCAAGAGATAAGGAGACAATTACCTACAAAGGAGTTCCCATCAGACTGTCAGCTGAGTTTTCAAAAGAGACCTTGCAGGCAAGAAGGAGCTGGAAAGAAGTATTCCAAGTCATGAAAGGCAAGGACCTACATCCAAGATTGCTCTATCCAGCAAAGCTTTCATTTAGAATGGAAGGGCAGATAAAGTACTTCTTAGTACTTTAAAGTCAAGTTAAAGGAGTTCATCATCACTAAGCCCTTATTATATGAAATGTTAAAGGGACTTATCTAAGAAAAAGAAGATAAAAAAACATGTACAGTAAAATGCCAGCAAACTCACAATTATTAACAACCACACCTAAAACCAAAACAAAAACAAACTAAGCAAACCACTACAACAGGAACAGAACCACAGAAATGGAGATCACATGGAGGGTTAGCATCAGGGGAGTGGGTGGAGAAGAGAGGGGGAAAAGGTACAGAGAATAAGTAGCATAGATGGTAGGTAGAAAATATGGGGAGGGCAAGAATAGTATGGGAAATGTAGAAGCTAAAGAACTTATAAGTATGACACATGCACATGAACTAAAGCGGGGGGAATGTGGGTGGGAGAGGGTGTGCAGGGTGGAGGGAAGTGAAGGGGGGAAATGGGACAACTGTAATAGCATAATCAATAAACTATATTAAAAAAGTAACCAATGAGTGCATAAATAAGTAAAAAAACAAATTCAATATCTCTCTTTCTCTCTCTTTCTCTTTCTCTCTGACTCTAACTCTCCCTTCCTCCTTCTTGCTAAAAATTAATAAATAAATTTAAATATAAAATAAAATAAATGGAATCACATAGTATGTACATTTTGGGATTGGCTTTTATTCTCCAGGGAAAATAATTCCCTGGAGATCCATCAAAGTTTTTATTATTTTTTTATTTTCGAGTAGTATTCCATGATATGGGTATACCAGTTTGTTTAACCTTTCACCCATTTGAGGACATTTTTTTTCCCGTTGTTGACTATTTTATATAAAGCTGGAGTGAACAAATCATGGAAAATAAATTAAATAAATAAACGACAGATAATACAATTATCTACCTAATACATACAAAATAATGTATTCAATATATTCAAATCATTAGAATAAATAGGGCCCAGCAATGAATATGTTTTATAAATAAAAAGTTAACCTTCTATACACAAGGTTAGTGTATAGAATATATTAAAAATGTGTCAATTATGGATGATGACTGAGATCCCCCAAGGAATGAGAGAGGAGAGCTGGAGGAAATAATGGAAGCAGTAAAAAGTGAAAGACAAAAGGAAAGGAAAAAAATACGATAAGACTATGATGAAAGCCAAGGAAAAATAAAATAGTTTTTTGAAACATAACATAGACACTTAAGCAGTAGGTTTCTGGTAAATATATGTTGGTAGGCAAATTAGATAAATCTTTACTTTTAAACCTTTCAAAATTTAAATCATATTCTTCTCATACTACTTAATATATACTTACTATTTGATAATTTAAAATTCCTTTTTTCCCATACTACTTAATATATGTTATTTGATAATTTAAACTTCCTTTTGTATTTGAAAATGCATTTTTCTTCCCTAGAGTTCTCTGTTAGTTTTCAAGTTGCACCTAGAGTGGGACATTTAAAAAATCACATCAACTGATCTTTTTCTGATACCAGTAGGTGAGACCCTTTGGGATAATATGGAAACTCTAAATCCTTTGTTTTTAATGGCAGTTAAGTATATGTCACGACCTATGAGACAACCTGGGATTTTAATTTTCCTAGAGTGTTAGAACAGCACTAGACTGAATCCCAGGTAAATGTGGTCCACCTTTCTATGGTGGAGATTTCTTGACCTTTATACATAGTTGACAAGGAGGGGACTCATTTACGCTATCTCCCTTTCTCAGAGTCTCCTTAGAAGTCACCTTCCTGCTGCCTAATACAATACAACTGTACTCTACATATTTCCATTTCAATTGCTCTGTTCCACACTGTGTTCATCCTGTCCTTGCTATAACTTTGGAGATGGATGGCAATACTTGTGAACATTATTATTTGTAACCCACATCAGACTATCTCCAAGAACACAGCCATTGGACCATCACTCAAGAAGCCATGCATTGGTGACGAAGACTATTTATGCATCTAATGCAAGGGGACTTGAAAATTAAATCATTTCATTGGGACTAAATTATTAAACCTGATTTAGTAAGTCACTTAAACCTGATGTAGTAAGAGTATTTTTTGAAGGAACTTCACAGTGGTTTACAAAAGATTTGAATTGTGTTTTGCTGCCTGTAGTAATTATATTTTGTTTTGTTTTTTCTTCCAGGATATATAAGAAATGTTTACTTAACATCTGGCCTTTGTCAACTGGCCTTGAAAACACCCATGAGATACTTTCTTTAAGTGCAATTTTGTTCACCATCACTGCTTTCACCTTGACTTCAACTGACTACCCACACAGCTAGCTGAGCAGCTGGGTATGACAGGTTTCTCACTGTCATTATTTAAGCATGTTTGCAGGTGCTGATTACTAAACTCATATTTAATCTCTATTGCCAATGAAATGTTACAGTATTTTTTGTACTGGTTTTGCCTCTTATTGGAAGTATAATTACAGCAATGTTAGTAAGATAGAATATGAGAGCATTCTTTGATGCTTTCTGGTTAGTGAGAGCTATGGGTGCTGCATGCATGTCTGTCTAAGCGGCTAATTCTCAGATCAGATTAGGAAAGCTTTGGGCTCTTTTTAGCTTTTAATCCCTACTTTCTTAATTCAGTGTATAAATGTGAGCAAAAAATATTTTAATCTCTTTGAAACAAATTAAATAAATTTTGAACTACCTTTGTATAAATGGTTTACTTTTATTTTAAATGAAAAGCTCTTGAGTTTTTCTCTCTTGAGGGGTCTCATTTTTATGTTCTCCTTTATAATTCATATAGATAAATATAGTACTGGAATCACTATGGGATCAGCTTTGGTCTGATTTATTTACTAATACTGTTTCTCTGGTTTTTCAAAGTGGGACAGTTAATTTCCTGAAAGTACAATATTTCTAAAAATTAACCAGACACAAATGTAGTTTGTAAGTGTTTTGGAAAATTGTCTTTGCTGTATGGAACCTATTTCCTATTGCAAATTCAGTCGACTTTTTGATCCTACTTTTATAGCCTTAAACAAGTTTGTAGACTCCAGAGTGCAGGAATATTGGTTTTCCATGCTGCATGCTGCGGTCCTCCTCCATAGGAAACACTGCATTCAGTCTTAGAATGAAGGCTGGAGGAATGAATAATTTTTGCAGCTGGACAACTAATAATAATACTTTGCAGCTTTAAGAGATCTTTTGTGGTACCAATTGCTCTGTTAAAATTAACTTTCCATATCTGTGTATTGAGGGAAATATTGGGACTTCAGGTTCTTAGGCCAAGACTAGGGGGTGGGGACTCACAGAAAGATGGCAAGAGTGGAGTATAGAAAGGACCACATTTTGGGATAGTGGTGATGATGCCTGAGGACAGATGGTTTGCACCTAGTTTTTCCGGAGTAAATAATGCAGATACCATTGGTTTCCTCCTTTTCTGCCAGCTGAAGCTGTATTGGTGCCATTGACACTAACATAAAATGTTTGGACCATTTGAAATTGTTGCTATTACCTCATCCTGTGTTGGAAGCGCTGCCTAACTGATGGTAAATGTGGGATTTTTGCGAGCATTTTACTGCTGTGGCCTGTGGCCATTTCAGCCCTACACCTGCCAGTCTAGCGACCTGACAGTCTACAGTCTGTTCAGGTTTTGTGTTTAGGCTCAGCATTCCTCACTTGCTGCAGTTTGCCAGGGTGTCCCCAGGAATTGATGTAAGGGAAAGGGATGCTTTCTTACTTTGGGGGTTCTCAGGAAAGTTGGACTCGATACCTCTTCCACTGCCTGCTATAGCCTGCATTTCCAAACAAAGACATTTTGTTCAGGTATCTGTTTTCATTTTCTAAAAAATCATTGTGCTGCTATGGAAAATTGTGACTTCACAGCCAAAATTATCTAGAATATGACTGGGGTTGTAAATATCTCCCTTCAATAATTCTCTATTTAGGTGGAAGTAACCAGAAAAGAAATAATAGTTTTGTTGTGTAAGGGAGTAGACCACTTTATTTTCCACATTTAATCTGCCTTGTTGAATCAATTAAAACAGAATTTGACTTGTGGTTAACTGTAGATAGGCATCCCAAATTCCTAACACCATCCCCATGCTTTCAGTACTTTCTTTTTCTGAGAAATAAAATATAAGCAAGATGGATTGTTATAAAAGTAATAGGTGTTTATTATAGAAACTTTAGACACAATGATGAATAATAAAAAGAAAAAACTAGTAGTTTTCACATTTTATATCTGTAGATAATCAGGGTTCATATTTTGGCATATACCCCTCCAGATATTTTTCTATCTGTATATGTTTCAAAATCCATGTGATAAAAACTCTTATGGACACTGTCTAATGACTGGTTGAGGACAAACACCTCGACTTAGAACTGGTGGTTCTAATGTAAATCCTACTTATAAGTGTTTTGATATATGTAGTCAAATTACTTCCCCAAAGGTGGCACCAATATTTATTACTACCAGAAGTATGCTCTATACTCTTCCCAATACAATTAGTTGCTCTCAAATCTTTGCTTACATGCTAAGTGAAAAATGCTATTGGTGGAGATTAACCCCCTTTTCTCCATAGGTTTACTGGTCATTATTTATTTATTTTGCATGTGTATGTGTAGCATAGGTGATTTGTAAAAGGTCTCTGTTAAGACAGTATGTTGTAAATATTCTCATTTTTATATATCTTTAATTTAGTAATGTTTAATACTAAAGTTTTAAGTATTTGTGTATTTGGATCTATTAATCTTTTTCCCCGTGTAGTTTCTTCTTGGTATTATGTTAGATTTTAAAATGTACAAAGCTACACCCCACTCAGTGCCCCACTTTGAGAACATGAAGGATTTTTCCTCCCACTGGGTGTGATTTGAGCAGTACAGGGCAGGGTGTCTTTCTCCATGCCTAGCACAGACCGGAGCACCCATGTGTGTCTTCACACTGGAGAAATATTTCCTCTGGTTCATAAAGACTTTGTTTACATTAAAAAACATTGGATGTATTATTTATGATTTAGGATGACTTTGTTAAAAAACATTATAAAAAGCCTACTATAAGCTTATTTTTAACTTGAAGGTTTGTTTGTCTTTTCAGAAAGTATCTTTAGGAAATTATACTGTAGTTATACTAAATGTAGACATACTCATATTTCCCTCCAAAATAAAACACAGCATTTATAAAAATGAAAATTTAAAAGTTAAGATTTTATAATACCCATAGCTGAAAATTTGAGATTATAGAAAATATATAATCATAGAGATAGTGACTATGAGGTTAATTAATGTCCTGGGTATTAAACAGATGGGTGATGATGAGTTGGAACTGTCCTATAAAGGGTATGTTTGGAAGTCTGGCTGTCAGAGGAAGTAGCAGGCATTGTGTTAGAACCATTAATAGGGGTAAGAAAATAGTAAAGCTATGGGCTTGTTTTCTTTTTTAACTCTATGAATAGTGCATATAGTAGCTAGCTCTTTGCTGATGTGCATGAAATAAGATTGGAGTACCTATAACACATTTACATGAGGAAAAAATAATACCTTTCAACTTACTGCAAGGGTTACAGAGAGAATAACGATGTTAAGCATTTCTTTCAGGAAGAAGCCTTGTGTTGGAACTCTTTCCTTTCTAAATATTTCATTGTTTAATAGTGGAGTTTAAAAAGGATCATAGAAGGATTTTTTTTCATCATAGAATTATATGCCCCCAAGTGAGGATTTTTATAGACATATCAAGGCAAATGGAGGAATGTTTCAATACATTTATTGCCATGTCATTGTGCCACCTGCTGGGGCAGAAGACACCGGGAGACCTGTGCTGCACACGCCCTAGGAAGCTGATTATTGCAACCCCTTCACGGTGCTGCCCAGAGCTGTTCTCGAGTGCCTGCCACCTCCCTCCTCTCTTGTTCCCTGCAGAGCACTGCCTGTAGCTGTGCTGTAGGATTTTTCAGTCATTAGAGGGCGGACATTTCATTCTACACAAATGTTACATAAGTGATCAGCACTGGATTGGGGACTGATTAGAAATTTTAATTTGTATATTTTAGAAATCATAATTGTGCCAAAATGGAGCACAAATTATGCTTTAGTAATGAGGTAGAACAAATAAGAAGAGTATTTGAAATTGCACATTATGAATTATAGAAATAAAATTTTAAATATAATGTTTTTATTCTAGTCTTTTTTGAATATTCACTACAGAGACACACAGATAAGTGGCACAGCTCCTGTCCTCTGGGAACAGGATAGGCAAGGTTCTGCGACCACAATAAACAACCCCCACCTCTCAGGAGACTCAGTGGATGGTAGTGTTTGTATCTTGCTTGTGCTACATGTTAAGCACAAGTCAGCAGGAGGTCCTGCTCATCCTTGTCACTCAAGGACCCAGGCCAAGGAGCCGAGGAAGGCTCCATTTTTTCCTGTTTAACTGCAAACAATATCAGAAACCCAATTCAGTTCAAAATTTTTTAAGGGGATAGCATATCTCAGGCACTGTGTTAGGCATTGAGACTACAAAGATGTAAAAACCAGTCATAAAATAACTTTATGTTGAATTAGGGACATACACAGAGATTACCTAAAAAAATGAAATGAGGACTCTGCAAAGCAATAAGGCAAGAGATGTAAAATACAGATCATAGAGGGTTTTGAGCCGTATTAAGTAGCTTGGGCTTTTGAAGGATTATGAGCAGGGAATGGGCCTGATTAGATTATTGTTTTAAATAAAGCATGAGTTATCCATTGTAGATGGATTTGAGGAAAGCAGGACCAGAGGCAGAGCAACTAGTTAGAGTTGATTACCTCAGTCCTAGTGACCTAGGATGAGCGTTCTAAGCTACAGCATTGAGTGGAGATGGGGATAACTAAGTGAACATGTGGAGTTTTAAGGATATTAAAAAAAAAAAGCAGGACTTTTATAAGTGACTGAATGTAGAAAGAGAGTAACAAGTCAGATATGAGTTTCATATTTCTAGCCTGGCTGAGGGTGATGTGACCACAAACACAAATTTTGTGGCATGTCCAAGAAAGAGGAGCCCTGGGGTGGTCAATAAGGCGTTTTAAAGACTGCTGATATAAACTCAGTAAGTTCAGGGACTTTGTCTGAACTTCGTCCCAGTGCTATATTTCAGTTCTTTGAATGGAGCCTAACATATTATAGTGATTCAATAAATGTTTGATAAATGAATGGATTTTATGGAGTAAGATTTTTATAGATGAAGAGAAAGATTTGGTGGTGGTGGGTGGGGGATGGAAAGCAGGGACCAAAGTAGCTGGATCTTTACAACCACACCTCACCCAGTCACCAGGGTTATCTGGGAAGGGGCATGACATTGGATGGTGCCACTTTCTATAGCTGAGGCAGACCCCAAAGAAGTTGACAAAGGCTGTCTTGTTCAGTGTACTGCCCACCATTGAGTAGCAACTCCTTCTTTGAACAGGCATCTGGGTATAACATTATCTATGAACTGTTGTGTCTAGATAAGACTGGGAAAAGTGAGATAGGTTATCTCTGTGTATCCTCTGATCTAACCATAGTGAGAACACAGTATTTGTGACTCATATACTACTGGACAAGTCCAATGTAGCAAGTAAAAGCACCAAATGGCATGTGTCAGAGGCTGTGGCCTGCTGAGATGGATGTTAGTGAGCAGGAGTTTGTTAGGAAGTGCTCTTGGGATCACGAGCTCTATGAGGAGAAAGAGGAAGAGGACTGA